TTCCTTCTCCACTCTCTTCTCATGTTTCTGACGAGCCTGTTGTTCCAGCATCTGTGGATTTTCTAAATGAGGATTTTGTGCCATCGACAGTAGCTATACTTGATGTTCAGTGTCCATAAGGTGCAGAGCAAGATCTACTTTCTCTTGATGAAGTTTGCGAAGCTCAAAAGATTGAGCCGTGGATTCGAAGGCTTCAAGATGGGTTTGAGAATCCTGCATCATTTGCTGATAACATGCCTTTCCGGCATTTACATTCTCAATATCGCCTTGAAGACGACTTTCTTTATTTTGTGGGGATGGATCCTAATGATCATTTACGACTGGTGAGAAAAACTGCACAAGTCTTTCTATTGGCCGGAGATGCGACGTGATATTATCCGGTATGTGCATAGCTAATACTCCCCCTCATGCTGCGGAAGGTGGTTGGAGTCAATTGCAATTTCCCATCCATTGAGTTGGTGGTGTTTGATCTTATGGGACCATTTCCACAGTCGACTGTTGGTAATGAGTATGTTATTATTGCTTTTGACTACTTGACTCGTTAGGTGGAAGTTGGTGCTTTTGCTAGTGCCTTGTGAGACACAAAATCCCTAGGCCCCAAAGTGGAGCCGGAAGGGTGCCATGTGGTAGTGGCTGAAGCGAAAGCCAAACGAGCGTAACACATTTGGACTAAAAGCTTCAACTTGAAAGGTCGAGAGCGGGAGTGGAACTCCCAACAAAGTGCTCGAAGAACAAGCACGAAGCGAGCCATAAGCGAGGCTCCAAAAAGGGACCCAAAACGACCAACACATGACACGTGGAAGTGTCCGAGATGGAGTTTGAGGTGGAGTCCGAGGTGGAGTCTGAGATGGAGTCCGAGATGGACCGAGACAGAGTTCGAGATGGAGTCCGAGATGGAGTCCGAGATGGAGTCCGAGATGGACCGAGACAGAGTCCGAGATGGAGAAGAGATGGAGTTCGAGGTGGAGTCCGAGGTGGAGTCCGAGATGGAGTCCGAGATGGAGTTCGAGGTGGAGTCCGAGGTGGAGTCCGAGATGGAGTCCGAGATGGAGTTCGAGGTGGAGTCCGAGGTGGAGTCCGAGATGGAGTCCGAGATGGACCAAGACAGAGTCCGAGATGGAGAAGAGATGGAGTTCGAGGTGGAGTCCGAGGTGGAGTCTGAGATGGAGTTCGAGGTGGAGTCCGAGGTGGACCCGAGATGAAATCTGAGGTCGAGACCGAGACCGGGACCAAGACCGGGACCAAGACCGAGACCGAGACCAGGATCGGGACCGAGACCGAGAGCGAGACCAGGACCAAGACCAAGACCAAGGCCAAGGCCGAGACTGAGCCCGAGTCCGAGTCCGAGTCCGAGTCCAAGTTTGAGAGGGTGAAAGCCCAAAGCACTCGTCTCCCAGACCCTGGGGGGTTTGGTGAGCTCCAAAAGTATAGTAAGGGGGAGGGCTGCAATGGAGCCAGTTTGGCCAGGAAAGACCAGTTTAGCCTAGGAAGGCCAAGCCCAGTGTTGGGTGATGAACTGACCACTGGGAAGTCCAAGACTAGAGTGAATATAGACTAACAAGCGAGGTAGCTTGGTGAAGTGTTCAAGAGCCGGCTCTAGTTCCCCCGGGAGATTGACTGGCCGATGCTCCCAGTCCAAGTGTGGGTGGCACTACCTACTTGGATACCAGGTGTGGCTCAACAGAACCTCGCTCTAAGCCCATGGCTAGAGCACCTAAAGGCGGAAGGTGGGAAGAGTACCCAGTGGGCTCACGTAGGGCCACGATGTTCCGAAATGTTGTCCCAGAGTCCCAAATGGGGGAAAGGAGGTGGAGCAGTCCTCTAGTGTAGTGACCAAGGATACAGTCACATGGTGAGGAAGTCCCAGAGGACCATGGGACTTAGTGGTCGGGCCTGCGGGCCTTGATCTAGTGGCAGTGTCGGCAAACATGGCCATGAGCAGAAAAGGGACTTGGTAGGAATTGACAAAGGGATATTGGGGAAGGCTATTCCCCATGTTTGTAGGCATCCTAAGGATGCTAAGGAGTGGATTTGGGTTGACCACTCGTGGACGGATGGCCTAGTCTTGGAGAGACGGGAAGTGGTATTGGACCACTAGTGCGGCAAAGGTGAATGGGCATGGCCTTAGCGTAACAGGCTGATATGTCAGTGGTACCTTTGGGTGTCAGTCTTGGGACCAGACACGTGGAGCACTTAGACCAAGTGCAATGGTCGAGTGGCACGGAGGCCATTCTTGGGGTTAGCAAGTCCCTAAGTCTGGAATAGGACTTATAGAGGTGGTGAATGAGACTCCTCCAAGCAGTCGGAGGTGTGGTTAAATGACTAAAGTAGAATAGAAAAGTTTAGTCGCTTACATGCCTTTGCAACTACTGTTGGATACTTCCTCCTCAATTGAGTGGTGTTTCAGCATTCTTGTCTAGAGTGGATTCTTTCAGATAATGGTCCCACATTTATGGCTGAGGCATTTTATGTTTTGATGTCTCGGTTGGGGATACGCCACACTTTCACAAGTGTTTATCATCCATAATCAAATGGTCTGGTGGAATGGCTCGTTCGGACATTTAAAGGGATGATTGCGAAGTATGTGAACTTCAGCATTCGGATTGAGATGGTTATTTGCCGTCTCTTTAGTATGCATATATTATAAGGGTGTAGAATTCTATTGGTGCTTCACTATATAAACTCCTATATGGTCATGATCCAATATTACTAATGGAGCTGGGTTTACCTTCGTGATTGCCACGAGCTGCCGATGCTAGATCATGGGATCAGTATTTGACAAGCATTCTTCCACTTATCTGAGTAAAGTCTGCCAAACACTTAAGCCGCGTACAAGTGGGACAACAACAGCGTTACATCATCTACCTATGGAGTACAAAGTGGATGATTTGGTGTTAGTCCGTTTTCCCCATTTTACGGTACGTGGTTTATCTAAGGGGCTCCTTGCATAGTGGAAAGGACCATTTCAGGTGTTGCGGCAAGTTGGACCACAAGTTTATGAGGTACGGCATGGCGTCCAACAGGCTGATCCTCTAGAGATTATGCATGTGCAGCAGTTGAAATGTTTCATACAAAGGGATCAGGAGCAGTTAATACCACCTACAAATCCGCTAATGCCTCCTCCTGACATTCCTCCCGATCCTGGCCCATACAAGTGTACGGTTATGATGCCATATACTAATATTAGCATAGTGGGATTTTGCTAGTTGTCGGACTAGTTTCAATCCGGACCACTCGTTTCTATATATAAGCTAAGGTTTTTAGGCTAATTGATATACACATTTTTTATATTCCCTTTCCATATTCCAAACATTCACATTGGTGGAGATGAGGGGCATCCATCCCCTTACCTATCACAATATATATTATTTTAATACTATTTTAATTTAATTTTTAATGTAATAGAACTATGATAATCAAAATAATGTTTGCTAACTAGGCAGCATATGCTCAATGACTAGTGGGAAATAATACTGTTTTTTTTTCTTTTTTGGGAAACAAAACTTGGTAGCATGACGTTATATTTATGAAACCACTTATGGGGTACGTGCCACAACATTTGACCTTTCTGCTGGAGCATTCTTACGTCTGTGAGTTTTATCTTATGATCTGACCCAAAAGATTGATATCCCAATCAACTATCACCCAATGTCTCGCTTCACCTTAGTGCTTACAACAATGTTTCTACTATTGGTCTCTTTTTTTCTGGCAAACCAGACTATGTTCCACAAACCATGAACATTGGAAGCGATTGCAATACTTGTCCTATTGCTCTCATTTATGTGTGCATTTGGAGGTCTGCCATTTTGTGCTCTTCAGAACATCTCTAGAGAGATCACAGGTTGGGCGATGACCATTTGCCAAGTTTCAAATCAAAGAAAAACACTAAATAAAAAGTGCACCAAATCTAAAATATTTGCCTTCAAGAGATGGCTTTGTCTCCACAAAAGCTGTGGGATAGATCATATCAAGGATTTGGCATTCTGGAGAGAAAGCGTCCCTTCTTGTTGATGAAATCGGTCCAAAATGGTGCCATGCATGGAGGAATGCGTCCTGCGGCAAGAGTGGGCTTGTTTCGTATGTGAATTTCCGAGAAGGCAGACGGACTTAGATACGTAATGTACTCTACCACGTAAAAGAATATTCTAATAAAATTAAGCATATTCTTTTTTCTCTCAATCACTTTCCTCTGTACACCGCGGAGCGAGCCACGAGAAACTCTTTGAGCGCCTCGACCGTGGGCAGCGCGAGCTTGGCAGCGGGATGCGCGAGCACGGCCTGGAAGAAGTTGTGAAGACGCGGGCACTGCTCCTGGCTCGCGGGCCATCACGCCCACAATCCCTGGGAAGGGGGCGAGCATCACATCCAAGAACGCCATTCTCGCTCCGCCAAAGAATGGGCCTTCTTCCTCATTGCCCAGCTTCGTGAATGCTCCCTCGAGAAGCTCGTAGTTCTCGATACACTCCTCGTTCTTGGCGTCTCCACGCATGAATCGCATCAAGCAATCCAGAAGCTGTGCGATGGATCACATCAGGGATGTGTGGCTCTAGAGACGCATACCTTCTTGTCGATGAAATCCGTCCAGAAGCGGTACTCTGCGCGGGGGAGAGCGTCCGGAGGCAGCAGTGGAGATTCTCCGCGCCAGACCTCGTCGATGTACTGAACAATAATGACCGATTCCACAATGGGCTTCCCATTGTGGATGAGAACCGGGACTTCTTGTGGATTGGATTAGATTCGAGCAGGAGCTGGCCCTTGTTCTTCAGGTCCTGGAGGAGATCATCGTGCTCGATGCCTTTGAGTAGCAATGCAATCTTTACTCGCAGAGAAAAGTGGCTCACCCGGGAGCTGAGCAGCATCACGCCTTCCAAGGATCCGGAATGGATTGGAAGATGAGGTCTCGAGAGAACAGTACAATTCTAGAATGCGATCAATCCAAACAGTAGTGACATTGTCATTATGTTATCTGATCATAAAAAATGACCATATGCTCAATCAAGATATGGCTGGAAAAGTGTTATTCATGCAAAGGTTTCTACTTATTTCGGATTAATTCCTTGAGCTTCTCGACCGGGGGCAGTGCGCCCTTGGCAGCGGGATGCTCGGACACGGCCTCGAAGAACTTGTGGAGACGCGGGCACTGCTCCTCGCTGGCATGCTTCAAGCCCATCACTCCCACAACCCCGGGGGCGTAGGGAGCGAGCATCACATCTAAGAAGGAGAAGCTCGCGCCGCCGAAGAAGGGACCCTCTTGTTCACTCCCCAGCTTCGTCAAGGCCCCCTCGAGAAGCACGCAGTTGGCGATGAATTCCTCGTTTGCGGCATCTTTGTCGTTCCCGTGCACGAAACGCATCAAGCAGTCCAGCAGCTGTACAAGCAAAGGCATGAGATCGAGTAGATTTCTCGAGATTTATAGAACATACCTTCTTGTCGATGAAATCGGTCCAGAAGCGGTGCTCTGCGCGGAGGAATGCGTCTTTCGGCAAGAGTGGCGATGTTCCAGGCCAAACCTCGTCGATGTAGTGGACGATGATGGCCGACTCTGCGATGGGCTTGCCCTTGTGGATGAGAACCGGGACCTTCTTGTGCACTGGATTGGACTCGAGTAGGATCTTGCTCTTGTTGCCCAAATCCTGGGGGAGATCTTCGTGCTCGATGCCCTTGAGCAACAGTGCAAGCTTGGCTCGCATCGAGAAGGGGCTGGCCCAAAAGCTGAGCAGTGTTACATCTTGATCACTAGAAGCCATTGGAAATGGAAATCTAGAAGAAAGATCTGGAAATGCGAGAGGCTGGAGAAAGGTTTGTTGGAGTCGCGCTTTATATAGTCCGTGTGATCCACGGGGAGCGAGGGGAGTTCCAGAACATAATTTGTACCTTCGTTAGGCCACGATTGACTGGGAAGAGATATTCGAGAAGATATCTTCGTGAATATCGGTAGAACACTTAAGATTTTAACCCGGTTATTCCCAAGCCCGGGCTGTCCCGAGCTTCTTCACTGTTTGATTTAGAAAGATCCTTAGAATCCCGGCTTCAAGACAGCAGAAGAATTTGATTTTGTCAACTGAGATCTTGCACTGGTAGATCAAAGCGACCACAGTTTGTTAGACCGAAGCCAAAGATCACGATCGAGTGTCGGTAGAACACAAGTCTGTGAATAGCATCAGGTTATTCCGAGAGCCACCACCCGGCGCCGCTGCCTTTCTCGCCGCGTCCCTGAATTCCCTCGCTCTCGCCTTTCGAGCTTTGTCGCTGAAGATCCTCGCAATGGCCTCAGCAATCTCCTCCCGCTTCACAAACGCGTCGGAGCTCCTCACGTCCGAAACTTCCACCCCAATGCGGCAGCTCTCCGCCATGATCTTGCGGTTGAGCCCCTGCTCGTATATCCGAGGCCAGCAGATGATCGGCACGCCGCTGGAGACGCTCTCCAGGACCGAGTTCCATCCGCAGTGGCTCACGAATCCAGCCACTGCCCTGTGCGCCAGAACTTCTCTCTGCGGCGCCCATGAAACCGCCAGGCCTCGTCCCTTGGTCCGCTCGACGAAGTTCTTGTAGAAGTCACTGTTCTTCACCAGGACTGTCGTGTCTGCTTCGTCCACGAACTGGGGCGGCCTGACTGTGAGCAAGAACGGCACCTTGCTCGCCTCCAAACCGAGCGCGAGCTCCTCGAATTCCTCCTGCGACAGCTTCGCTATGCTGCCGAATGCGACATAGAGGACTGAGTCTGGCTCCTGCGTGTCGAGCCAGTCGAGGCATTCCCTGTCCTCCTTGAGAAAGCTCAGCACGGACTTCAAGTCGCCGTGATCATCCAGCACCGGGAACAAGGGACCGATTGGCAGAAACTTGTCGTTGAAAAGCTTCTTCATCGCGTCCACCACCTTGGGCTCCAGCTCGTGGAATGTGTTACACAGGATCCAGGAGGACGCCTTGAGTCGCTCGGCTCCAGCACGAAAGTACTCAAGGACGGCTTCCGTGTAGTGCCATGGAAGATCAGACTGCTTGATCGAGTCTATCCCCGGAATGTAAGTGATTTCTCGGTCCTCGCCATCTGATTTTAAACAAGACAAAGATTTAGAGCTATAAGAGTTGACAAAGACAAACCTTTTATCGGAAGATCGCCTTCCGAAATAAGCAGTGGGGCGTGGTACTCAACAGCAAACCAAGCCGCACTTCCAGGCCAGTAAACAGCGTATGGAATTCCAAATTCGCTGGCAACTGGAGCACACCATGATCCAGCATAGTGATCAGAGATTATGACGGTAACGCGAGGTCCACTGTCATTCAGAGCTTGGATCAAATTCTTGAACTCGCCGCCGAGATCGTAAACTGCTCTTGAAAAGCGTATTAGATCAGCTTCTGCAGCAGCGAGAACTCCTTTCGACAAATCCACCGCGGGATGAAGAGGCTCCAGCCTGATATCCAACTCCGAAGGAAAATCCCATACCTTGATCTGCTCATGAATGGAAACCACGTTGGCGATGGTAACTGCGCATCCGAGTTCTGCCAGCTTCTTGCCGAGGAACACAACTGGCGAAAAGTGCCCCTGAGCAGGATACGGGACGAGTACCACATGTGGTTTGCCTGCAAACATCATATTGTCAATGCAATTTCTCTCGAGTTCTACGAAGAAGAAAGAACGAACCTGAAGCGCTATATTTTGGTGGAGTAGGCCAGCTGACACACCGAAGCCCGTTCCTCGCCCTTCCACGTTGGCTTTTTCCGGAAAGAATCATTCTTCCGTCTCGGGGAAAACGAGAGGACACTTGTCGCAGGTTCTTGTCTTCAGTAACTCTTTGGCAGCCTCATCCAGTAGAAAGCTGAAGATCTCCTTCGCAATTAGCACTGCTATTCTCTGTAGCTCCTCCTCTGTGCCTGCCCAGTTTGCCTCTTTACTAACATCTCCCTGGTGAAGGCCTTCGACTGACTGCTGCTGGAGGCCTGTGTTATGGCATATCTCACTCCAAACGTCTCGCAGAAGTCCCCGGCTCGAAGGCTTACAAGACTTCCGAGCCAAAATCTCGTTGACGACGTCGAAGAGAAACCGGCGATGAGATAAATTGTCAGGATTTCCTTGATAGTCTGCTTCCAGCGTCTGAAAAACTTGAGAAATAGCCACAGACCTTCGACTGCCACACTCATAAAGGGGCGGATTCTTGGACGCCAAAAGTACCTTAGAAACGTAGACAAGATCTGCTAGACGAGTATCAGCCACAGGTTTCTCTGTGTTTACTCCCCGATTCGGTGCTTTTAACAATCGACGAGTTTCTGCAAGGACGCCACGTTAATTCAGATAAAAGAAACCTTGTTCATAGGTAGCATTACCTCCCGAGTGTCTTTTGCGAAGTTCCAAAATAGATACTGGACTTGTCTGCTGCAACGTCTCGCTCGCATTTCCAGTGGCCTGAAAAAATTCGTCATCGAGAGAAAGACGACCTTGGAAACCATACCTCTACGATTTCAACTTGAGGCGCCAGTCGTGTATCATAATCTTCAGAAAAGGTTCTCTGTTCTAGCGTGTCTCCAGGCCGGTCTTCGTCCACCAGAGCCTGCTTTCTCGAAAGTTTTATTGGCGTCGTTTGGTATGCTGGTGAAGAAGTCGTAAGATTCGCACTTTCCAAACTTTGGTGGCAACTGATATATCGTCTCAGCGTCGGAGTGGAAGCGTCTTGGATGTCCAGTGGCGTCCGTTCCGGCGAAGGCAAATGCGAGCTGACGTCTCTGAAAGCACTCTCCCGAGCCTTCCTGGCGATCTCTTGAGCGATTTCTTTCGCATCCTTGGAGCCATCTCTGAGGCGATGTATAACGAACTCCCTGGCAGATTGCTGCTGCGTTTTGGTTTCGGTGACAGCGTGCAGTACTTTCTCCCTGGCTGGAGAGTCGGGCTCAAACTCCTCCCTGTGAAATCGCGGTTGCGTTTCAAAGACTTTGTTGCTGGTTGTTTCCCCCGAAAATCTGGAGAGTGCGGCTTGTTGATCATCACCTTCTCGTGAAATTGTCTAGTTTCTCTTGTGCTAGCATGTACTGGTGGAGAACAGGACCCTGTTTCTTGTCTTCCCTTTGCCGGACCAGGCTTCAAAACTACAATCCTCGTCGAACCATTGTCAATAGAGACTTTCTTTCGAGTTTCAGCACGTTGCCCTTCATGTCCGTTCAACAAGAGATGGAGAAGAGTTGGCGTCTTCAAAGGCTCCTCATTCACAGGCTCCACTGGACTTTCAAACTGGAGAAAGCTGTCCTTACTCGGCTCGAGAGACCGCATCGCTTCCAAAAGCTGCCGGGATCGGTGCGTAACCCTCGGAGAGTAATTCGGTGTTACCCTCCCGGAAAGTCTCGCCCAGCACTGACTTTGTGGCTCTTGAAAACTGGCCAGTTTCTTGCGACTGTGTCTCGAGAGTTTGCGCGAGACAGCTTCTATCATCTTTACCCTTTCCAACGAACAGCCGTTCCTCTTAAGCATGTCACCCATGTCTCCACCGGCATTGTCTCGAGACCCATAAGTCTTGCCACTACACCGGGTGGTTTTACTTTTGCGCACGTTGAAAGAACGCTATGCTTCGCAGCTGGAATCTCAAAGCCAAACTGGAAGATCATATGGAGACACACGACTAGGAAGAAAAAATAAAAGCAAAAAACACTTACGGGGATCCATCGAGAACTCGGGACTGGACAATCCACGCTATTCCTCGGAGCTTCGACTCCTGGAAGAAAAATCTAAGGGGCTCCATCGACACGCAAGACAAATCAATGCCGGTTTGGTATACCTTCTCGATTCCTCCTGCAAGATCGATTGGTGCTCCCCGAATATCGGAGTGCTCATGCCTTGTACCAAACGATAATCTACCTCAAGATCCATCAATCCCTGACATTCTCGCGTGCGCGCTTACTTTGGAATGGAGAATCCCTCGCCCGGCGCCCGCGAAAGAGCTCCTCGATCGCGAAGAAAATATAACGAGGAAGACCTAGAAAGAAGAAAACGTACCTTTGGAAGAGCGCAAATTGAAAGCTTCTTACCCGCCGCCATTGTACACAACGACATTGACCGCTGGTTAATTCTGGAGACTTTTACCAGATGATCTCGTGAACAGTGTGACGGATATTCTATTAGGGTAGGAAAAAAAGATAACTTGATTGTAACCAATTTTTAAGAATTTAACTTGGATAATCAACTAAAGGTTAAATTAGATTTAATTTACCACGCTCCTGTTCATTAACGGTTTCATCTGGAAATAAACTCACGTGGATAAATTTGTAACAACAAATCCATTTTAATTCAAAGATAAATTGATTTTTTACTGCAATGTCCCCTCTCGCAACATCAGGTAATAAATTTCAGAGGGCTATATTTTTTTCACAAAATACTTCTTCAGTAAACCTGTCCTGACCACTTTTCTAATGGCAGGATTATGAGTTTTGGCAGCCACTCCAAGATGTTGAAGGAAGCTCGGGTTGGGGCGTCACGCTTCAGTCTCAATGCTGATGCTGAAATACTCCAATTCTAATCAGATCTTTTATGTGCTCGAAGGTAGATGAGCAAGTGTTGGCTCATTAGTTTGTGAGCCAGATTAGTGATTGGGAAGTATTGGGAATTTTGAGGTTGTGGATAGTTGGATTATACTGTTGAAAAATGGGCGAAATGAGCTTGATTCTCAACCGGTGACAGTTTAGTGACCTCTTATGCACTGTAGTGAGCTCCATCCCAACATGTTTATATCCCTCAGAGTAACAGTGATGTTGGTAACTCTCAAGATCTAGAGGCCTTTGATCTTCTCAGCAGCAGTCTTGAACTCCTTGTTGCCAACATAAGGAGAAGCTAAAGGGAAACAAATGATAGGGATGATTTTCTTCTTGGAAAGATTTACATTCAATTTCTTGTTAGGTGATAGCATATGCCCAAAAAGTTGTCAGTGATGCAGTGCTCTGGCATGCTAATGGCTTGGCCTACATGGTAAAATAAACTTGCATAATGATAAAGTTCACAGCTTTTCATTTTCCTCTTAGTTTGTGTGTTATAACTCCTTCACGCCAACATTCACTTTATCCACTAAAACTCTGGAAAAGACGAAGACATTGTTTGCTCTCATTGGCTCTAGCTCTGTGTCCACTCTTGAAGAATTACGCTTAAAAGGGAAATTAAAATTAAAATCAACATATTTAGAAAAGGAAATATTTATTATATTTTAAAGAAAGTTAATAGAACATCCAAGCATATTTTAGGTATATCCATTATTGTTTGCTTAACAAATTATCTTAATCATATACTCTACAAGGTTGAGATTAGTGTAGTATTGAGGAAATAGATAGGATACTTTACTATTAGCTGAATATCTTGAGGCTCTACAATGAGTTACACAATACTAATACATATTTGTCTTTTAAGACTAATAGATCACACTAGATGATGATGAAAAGCTGAGCATTTAAAATTATTGCCATGGTGCAAGATAAGGCTCTAATACAAAACAACTTATGCAATATGGTCAATTGCTAGTCCACCTTAGCAAAAGTCTCCAGGAAAAACCCAATATCCTTGAGATGCGATGCAAATACTTCCACCCTTTCCGATTCTTGAAAGCTGGGATGGGGATTCCATTCCTGGGCTGCAAGGAAAAGGAGTAGGGATCACCACACGCTTCAAGTTCCAACCCAAGTGTGACAAGTCTTTGATCATCGTTTCCCCTCCTTTGCAAGACACACCGGTACAGGTGGTGAGTGGTCAATTCCTCTGGGTCAAGCTTGTCCAGAATCTTGTCTGCATAGTACTGCATAGCTGCAGTAACACAACTATCTTGTAGAGCTTTGCCATGTCTCGCATGAACTCGTCCACGCCGGGCCGCTTAGCCAAGCGCTCCAGTGGCACAACTTTCCCGCTGAAGAGCCTGAGCGTTGCCCCTGTCGGGCATGGATGAGGGTGTTGTCCATGTCCAAAACCAACGTTGGCTTGTTTGGATCCAGAGGTAGCGGTAGAATACATGTAGTAAACTCACCCTTCGTTTTGACCTTGGGCTGTGGCCTTCTTGGATCTGAAAATCCCAACCTCCATGCTCGCGCTTCATTTTCGACAGAACTAGAGGTAAACATCATACTAAGGGCTGGCTTTAGCTATCCAAACATGATGATCGCTCACTTGCTCACTAAGCGAGCCTGGATAAGCTCTTTGAGCTTCTCGATCTGTGGCAGTGCCACTTTGGCCGAGGGAGGCTCGGTCACAGCCCCGAAGAGTTTGTGGAGACGCGGGCATTGCTCCTGGCTCGCGGGCTTCAAGCCCATCACTTGCTCAAGCGCTGGGATCCACACCGCAGAGGGTGCCAGCATCACATCCAAGAACGACATGCTCGCGCCACCAAAGAAGGGGCCCTCTTCCTCATCGCCCAGCTCCGCCAGAGCTCCCTCGAGAAGCAAACAGTCTTGGATGAACTCCTCGTTCACGGCAGCGCCGTTGCTGCGGAAGAATCGGTCCAAGGAGTTGGAAATCTGCGTGATCGATAAGCAAGAAGAGTTATAGCAGCAAATTTCTCGAAGAAATACCTTCTTCTCGAAGAAATCAGTCCAGAAGCGGTGCTGTGCGCGGAGGAATGCGTCCTGCGGCAAGAGTGGCGATGTTCCAGGCCAAACCTCGTCGATGTAGTGGACGATGATGGCCGACTCTGCGATGGGCTTGCCCTTGTGGATGAGAACCGGAACCTTCTTGTGAACTGGATTGGACTCGAGTAGGAGCTTACTCTTGTTACCCAAATCCTGGGGGAGATCTTCGTGCTCGATGCCCTTGAGCAACAGTGCAAGCTTGACTCGCATGGAAAAGGGGCTGGGCCAAAAGCTGAGCAGTGTTACATCTTGATCGTGACAAGCCATAGCTAGATGGAAAATTGAGAAGAAAAGTTAGAAATGCAAATGGACTGAGGTTTAATATAATTGGATGAAGGGTCGCCTTTTATAACATGTCCCACGCGGCTCTAATTGCCAAGAAGGCAGACGAGAAGGCTGAAGGTAGTGTCCAAATAAGAATTAAACTTCCAGCAATCTATCATAATAAGGAGGGAGTGCTGAACTTTCTAGACCATTGGATTTAGCCAATTGCAACCATCAGATGGGGGGTAACTGTAAAAAGGTTATTTCTTTAACCATGTCTTAGTGAATAATCGTGCTGATGTTTGCTCTTGCCAATGGGAGGCAGCCAAGCTGCATGGGGCGGGAGAGGAAGGCTTTGCAACACATGTTGCATGCAAGGTGTTGATTGACGAGCAAAGAAAGCACTGTGAAGAATGGGTCACCATTGCTGTTCTTGCTAGGTGATTGCTCGCCAGCTATCCAATGATGGAATAGTGTGGAGAGCAAGCTGACCGTGATTGCGCTTGTTGCATGTTGAGCGAATTGTTTTTGTTTTGTAATGTTTTTCTAGGGTTTATGACCTTGTTGCTGCTGCCAATTCACAATCCAAATCTGAGGTACTGTGTCAATGCCACTGGAACAAACCATGTCCTGGTACTGTTTGTGTCCACACTTTCTTTTAATGTCTTCCATTTTACTTTCTTTTCTTCTTCTCAAATGCCAAGAGTTCATTCTTTTCCTGATTTGGTTTTTCCAATACTTTGTGGTGTCTTTGCTCCCAAGAACCCCATCGCAAGTTCTCACTGTTTTTCCCTATCACTTGGCTTTTTTTCATTTTGTTCTTCTTTTCCTAGATGAATATTTGAACCAAGAAGCAGAGAATGCAAAGACATTGTCTCTGCAACAGCACATCATGTCCCCACCATGCTTCCAGAACCCTTTTTTTAACACTGATGTGTTTCCTGAGAGAGCTAGGCAAGGTATGTTGTTATTTTTCATTTTTCTTTCATAACTTTGGTATTTTCATACAGGATGTGTCTCCACTTTTGGCTCTTCATTGCATTACCGTGAGGAGTTCCATCAAATCAAGGTATTTGTGGTGTGTAGAATTTGTATGATCTTCATTCTTACTCCACTGTCAGGAAATAGGATGAGGCAATTTTAGCTATGTTTATAAAGTTCTCAAAAGACTTGACAGCTGCCTTTAAGCTGTAAAACATTCCAATTGGCATCTGCTAAATGAGGGAGATTGGTTTGTCACTATATTCCAAAGACAATGGTATTGATTTGGCAAATTTTTCTCTTTGCAGGAGGAAAGCATTGAGAGAAGTTTAGGCACTTTTGTGTCTTGGTGAGTTGGCTTTTTTCTTTCAGTATTACCACTAGCTTCCTCAAAACTTATCCAACTTCCAGGTTGCCATGAAAATGTAGTGTACTACTTCTCTTCATGGTTCGAGAATGACTTTTTATATATCCAAATGGAGCTGTGTGAGATGAATCTATGAGATGAGAGCCTTGCATGGACATTCACAGAGAAGAAGCTGATTGAGGCAATGTTTCAAGTAAGCAGCTCAATTCTGTTCTTTTCTTATGACAGCTCTTAAACACTTTCAAGCATTTACACTTGCATGGCCTCACTCACCTGGACGTGAAGCTTGACAAGATCTACATCTGCAATCGTGTCTACAAGATTGGCAACTTAGGCCTTGCCAGTTGAATCAATGGAACCATTTCCATCGAGGATGGCGACTTGAGATATCTCCCGATGGAGTTCATCAACAATGATCACAGCCACCTTGACAAAGTTGACATGTTTTCCCTGGGGGCGACATTCTACGAGCTCACAAGATGCTTGCCACCACCAGCATCTGGAAGGCAATATCAAGCCATCCACCAAGGAAAGCTTGCTCTTCTTCCTGGATTCTCTCTTGCATTCCAGAGCTTCATCAAGTCTCTGATGCATCCAGCAGCAAAAAATCGCCCCTCAACGGCTCAAGCTCTCAAAAATGCACTCTTCAAGAAGTCTATCAAGAGTTGCTGAACTTTCTGGGCTGCTGGATCCAGCCAATTGCAGCCATCTGATGGGGGCATAACTGTAAAGGGGTTATTTTTTTAACCACGTGTTTGCAAATAATCACACTAATGTTTGCTCCTGGGCAATGGGAGGTGGCCAAGCTGCGTGGGGCGGGAGAGGAA